GCCCCAATAATTCTTTTTTTTTTTTAAGAGTTTTTTTGATGCACGTGCTCACAGAGGTGGAGGGGTGGGGAGAGAGACAGAGACAGTGAGGGGGAAAGTGAGAAATCACCTGGGGGGATGGCCACACCGCAATCCCTTCTACATTATCCTCCTGGTATCCTTGGCTCACACGTCCACGCGCCCAGCGTGATTTTCAAGCCACCAGGTCTGGGACTCAAACCACAGTTAGCCAGGTGGGAGTCCAGCAACGTAACCACTACGCCAGCTACTAGTCTCTGGCCTCAATAATTCTTTAGGGGAAAAACAAAGAAATGAAAGCATCCTGACGAATGTGGCAGCCAGTGGCATGATGGTTAAGGCAGCTGGATCCCACATGGCTGACTGCGTGGTTTGAGTCCCGCACACAGCAGCCCAAGACAACATGCTGGTTGCATGTGTGTATGTGCTTAAAATCCTGCGAGGAGAGTGGAGGAGAAAGGGTTGCAGAGTGGCCACACATACACCCCCCCCCTGCCCCCGGGAGTGCTTTCTCACTTTTTCTCACAGGTCAGAGTACGGCACTGAACACCCAGGGCACACGCATTCCACCCAGTGCACGTGGACAGGTAAACACCCCACTCGCTCTGGAGGGAGAATACACCTTGGGCATTTTATGGTAAAAGACTAATGGACTCTGGAGACAGCCATGGATGGCTGTGGGTGAACCACTCCCCCTGGCAGGCATGGGAGATGGTTTCCAGGGAAAGGGGAACACAGCTTTTAGAATGGTAAGACTAGAGGGAGTGAGGAACCAGCAATTAGCGTAATGGCTACGGCGCTGGACTCCCAAGTAGCCGACCGCGGTTCGCATCCCGGACCCAGTGGCTTAAGCTCATGCCGGGCACGTGTGCGTGCGTGCCCAAGATCCCGAGAGGAGAATGGAGGAGAAGGGATTGCGGTGTGGCCATCCCCCCTGGGGGGTGATTTCTCGCTTTGTTTCTCTCTCTCTGGGGAATGCATGTGCCCCATAGCAAAAACCTCTCCAAATAGAAAGGAAGAGTAGCCCAGACCCTGATAGGACTAAGCCCCAGGTATTGCTTCTATGGCTGAGTCCTCCTACTCTGGGAGTGGTGGCCAGCCTCCCTGGGACTGTCCTCCAGGTAAGCAGATCGGCCGGGCTGACGCCCTCACTGGTTCCAAGCGCTGCTAACACCTTTCTTCTCCAGGGCCCAGGCAAAAATGCTCCCTCTGTAGTTTCCAACCTGCCCAGCACTGGGAGGAGCTGGAGGCTGCCTCCAAATCCTTACTCCTGGGCCACGCCCACTGCCATTCCAGCCCACTGCCCCTGGGGAGGAGCCCCAGGCTTCTTCTGTTTTTTTAATCTGCAGGAAAAGATAATGTAGGCCATGGCTGAAAAACCACCTCAGGACCTCTTGTTTTCTTTCTTTCTTTCTTCTTCTTTTTCTTTTTTTTTTTTAGAGAGGTTTTTGCTATAGGGCCCGTGTGCTTGCCAGAGAGACAGAGACAGAGAG